TCCCGGTGCCCATGGCGGCGGGGCAGGAGCGGCGAGGCGGCCCCGGGCCGGTCTCTCCCGCTCCTTCCCTCCGCTCCACCACCACCACCCCCTCCGCCGCCGCCGCCGCCCGGAGTTCTGGTTCGAAAAAGCCGCTGCGTCTGTTACAGCTGCCCAAGTTGGCACGGCGGGGCAAGGGGGGAAGCGGGGCCGGCTCCTCGCCCCCTTTCCCTTGTCCTCCTGGATTAAAATAAAAGAGAAATTAGAATAGAAGAACTACTGTAACTGCTCTTGCGTCGCTGACCTCAGGCGAAGAGCCCAGCTCTCTTTTTCCGTCCCAAGAATTTGGCCTTGAACGAAACCCAATGGGTGTAACCTCCTTCTCCCTCAGAATGAAGCTGGATTCAAAAATAGCTGTGCCTGAATATTTTAAAATTTGGGGTGGGGGAGGGAGGTTAGAAAAGAAGGAAATGCCAAAAGGCAGTGCTCATGCAGATTGCATCTGTGGTAGACTCTGGTGGGCAGAAACCATGGCAAAATAAATAAGATTCCTCATGGTCAGAGTAGGGGCCGCGAAAAGTCTCCAAGGAACCGAACCGCAGCTCAGCTGGAGGAAGTTCAGCTCCTTTCATTGTTCTTTAGTGTCCCAAAAGAGATTTCTTTTCCCAAAAGCAGTACAGTGAGTCCAGAAGTTTTAATCTTGGATTAATCTGAATTTTATCTTAGTTTATTTTTTATATTATATGTAAACCACCCAGAGTAGACCCGTTCTAGTCTAGATGCACGACCTTGGACATCTTGTACAATTTGGTGGCACTGAGTTGTCTAATAGGGTCACAGCAGACGTGCTTGGATCAGTACACGACATGGCCTTGCTCACTGCATTTTAGTGTTTTTCTCTGGAGCATGTTATGACGAGCATACATGTCTCTGAATGTATCAGAAGTACCTCCTTGTTATGACTCAACAGAGTCACACTGATACTGTTATATAGCTATAATTAGAGGCTCTGACACATCCAGGCAGGTAGGAGCAATACAACCACCTGTCATTTGAGAAATAGGTAAGACATTTAATAGGGTTCCTTTCGATTTCCAACCATTAAGAACCATTTACATTGCAGCTTCGGTCAACTTGTTATCTGTTCTGTAATTGTGTGCTGTTGGTCAGTTTTGATCTATCTGGGCCAAATCTAGAATCAGTTTAAAAGAACAACTTGTCTATTACACTCATCATGGCTTGTTTTTTTTGTTTGTTTGTTTTTTTTTTAAATTGCGGACAACGTTTATTGCTGCACAAAAGTACAAAATACTCTGCTAGTCCCAGAGAGATTAGGAAGAAAGAAGAAGACAATCGCTTCTTCCTCGTGCTTGATTGTTCTATCAACAGTCCTGGCATGATACATTGTGGAAGACAAACCAATTCTTCACAGTTGTAATCCAA